GAGGGAGGGAGGGAGGGAGGGAGGGAGGGAGGGAGGGAGGGAGGGAGGGAGAGAGATCACAAAATGTCTGGATTAATAGGGAAGAGCCTAATTCAGGGCAGAGGATGGGCATGGCAGCCACTCCTTGTAACCGGGAGACTGAAGGGTACTGGGAGAACCTGAAGGCCAGGTCCGCTTTGATACCTTACTTTGATGCATTAAATAAGCACCTTAACCACTTGTCCCTGATCTGAAACCCAACCCCCAGCACCCAACAAAACAAAATGAAACAAAGAAAACCAAAATCAAAGTACTACAGCTCAGCACAAAGGCTAAAGTTGAAGACTTTCACATCAGATGACAAGGATGTGAAATGACAAGGACTCTTGTTTGTTGCGTGGACATGGGCAATGGCATGCACAGAGCCGTATAGACTAATCCTAGCACTCAAGAGGCAGAGGCAGGAGGATTGCAGAAAGTCTGAGTGCAGCATGGTCTACATAACAAACTCCAGACCAGCTAGAGCTGTTTAAAAAGAAAGGGGCAATCAGCTAATTGGCTCAGTGGAAAAATGAACTGCCAAGCCTAACGACCTGAGTTTGATCCGCTGCAAACAAAGGACCCCACACAGGTACCATGGGGACCATTGGCAGATAATGACTGCAAGGAGAGAGGAAAGAGGGGGTTGATTTTGTTGTTGTTGGTTGGGGTTTTTTCTTCCTTCCTTCCTTCTTTCCTTCCTTCCTCCCTTCCTTCCTTCCTTCCTTCCTTCTTTCCTTTCTAAGATTTATTTTATTTATATATGTAACTGTCTTCAGACACCAGAAGAGGGCATCGGATCCCATTACAGATGGTTGTGAGCCACCATGTAGTTGCTAGGAATTGAACTCAGGACCTCTAGAAGAGCAGTCAGTGCTCTTAACTGCTGAGCCATCTCTCTAGCCATGGTTGGTTAGCTTTTGTTGTTATTTTAGTGGTGTAGCCACTGAAAAGTTGCAGATGCTTTAGTAAATAACACCCTACCCAAGCTATGCAAGCAACCCTGATTCAACTCAGTGAGTCACACACAAAACACTCGAGTAGGAGCAAGACTCCGTAGGAGGAAGGATAGTATCAATGGAAGAGGGATATGGATAAGGGGGAGTGATGGAGGTTGAAATTTACTAAGATTTATCATAGACATGTGTAAAAGAATAAAAACTAAAACAAACAGCAAACTCAAGTGGGATTTTTGTATCAAACGTCAGCAGACAAGGCTGATTTCATGACAGGCTTCAAACTGGCAGTTAAGGAGACTGGGCCTAAATCTCTGTTTCCAAGAACTGAAGTGAACAGTTCTAGGCAAGTCCAGGTCTCAGAAGCTGCCACCACCTGGCCTGAGGCAAAGACAACGGATCAGCAACAGTTTCCAGACTTCCCCAGTCCCCACACCCCGGTAAGATGAACCCAACACATTAACATAAAGTTCACCTACCCCAGAATTCTCTTATGTGCTTTAAATCAGGCCTGCGAGCTCACTTGGTTGTCTATCTTGGTGATGGGAGACCCCAGCATGCTGGACTTCTACAGAATAAAACACTCCTTTTATTTACGTACTATTTAAATCTGAGGTATCACTCTTGGGCAAATCATGGACCCTTACACTGTGTAGGTCCATGGTCTATCTCAATGGTCCCTGGATCTTTTCTTTCATTTTCTTCTCTTTTATTTATTTTTCTTTGAGAAAGGGCCTTATAATAGCCCTTGAACTTGCTATGTACTGAAGACACCTTCAGCTTATCTCAGTATACTGCTCCTGCTGACCTTCAGTTATTCCTCCTATCTCAGACCCTCAGTGGTCCCTCGAGAGAGGATGCGGCTTCACCAGTCCCATGATGAGATGCTGGTAGGCCCAATCTGATTCTGGGTTTGTATAGGTACCTATAACTGCCGTGAGTTTGTGAGGATCATTTTATATCACACCTGTTGTGTGACAAAACACACATCTACTCACCCCAAATAGGGAGCTCAAGACAGACCAAAGTATGGATACCATCAAAGTCCAATTTGGTGAACCAATGAGTTTTATTGTAGTTACTCACAGGAGCAGAAATGACTCAAAGACAACTGCATCAGCAAGGCCCACCCCAGCTCAGGTGACAAGCTCACAGAAGCTGGGAAACCTGGAGCACACTGCTTCAAGCAAGTGTGATAAGACCTTGCCTCAAGTAAAACAAACCAGGCACACACACACACACACACACACACACACACACACACAGAGTTGGGGGATGAACAGGGAATCCTAGGATGTAGTATTTGCTTACTAAATAAATTAATTTGTAGAGCAATGATTACTACATGGCTAGGGATACAGCTCCATTGGTAGTGCTTGTCCACCATGCTTGAAATCCTGGGTTCAATCCCGAGTGTGACATAAATCCAGTGTAAAGGTGTATACCTGTAATCTCAACAATGAGAAGGTGGGGATGGGGGGGGAGAACAGGCGATTTAGGGTCATTCTCAGCTACACATGGAGTTCAACAACCACTGATGTATTTTATAAAACCAAGGATATGATTTATAGAGCACAGTGTGGTGTGGTGGGAGGGGTACCTCAGTGGGCCCATGCTGAGGCATACCACACACACACCTCTAAGGTACCAGCCATTTGACAAGTCTAGTATAGAATAGTTTATTTGTGAGAATGGCAAAGACAGAGAAAGAGAGGGAACAGAGGGGAGAGCAATGGGGGTGGGGGTGGGGGTAGGGGGTGAGGGGTGGGGGGATGGGAGGAGGAGGAAGAAGAGGAGGAGAGGCTGGCCAGGAACACGTGAAGAAAGGGGAAAGGGAGAGAGGGAGAAAAGGGCCAGAGAGAGAAAAGGGGGTAGAGACAGAGAGTCAGAGAGAGATGGAGAGGCCAAACTTTTTATAGCAAGCAGGCCTACCTGGCTGTTGCTAGTTAACTGTTGGTGAAGCATAGAAGGAATGCCAGCAACCTGTGGTTCAAGAGAACCTGGTCAATAAATAAATACATCCTCATCAGTGTTACTGAAATTTAATGTGGAAAATTTTTTTTCACTGAAGTTAATAAGCCTTGTTTGTTTGTTTTTCGAGACAGAGTTTCTCTGTGTAGCCCTGGCTGTCCTGGAACTCACTCTGTAGACCAGGCTGGCCCCAAACTCAGAAATCTGCCTGCCTCTGTCTCCCAAGTGCTGGGATTAAAGGCGAGCGACACCACCACCCGGCTGAAGTTAGTAAGCCTTAATAAGGAGTCTGAGGTTGAAGGATGAAGAGTTGCACTAGGGATTCTTTTTAAATAAGTAGATTTTACAAAACTATATTTTTGGAGTAATCTTAAGCTTAGAGCAACATTAAGCAAGCATAAGGCGCATTTTCTTTTTTCACTGGGGCAGTAGCTATTGGGGCGATTGCTTTGTTAATCTATTTGCTTATAATAACCATTTACTATGTGTATGTGTGCTATAACTTCATTCTCTAAATCTCAAAATCCATCCCAGAGAGCTGTTGGAACAATCATATTAAAGACCTCTGCATCAATGCTTTTGTGAACTCTTAAGATAGTATTGGCACTTTTGTAGAAGATGATGAGGAACAATAAACAGGACAACAGCAAAACTGTCATGCGTGCTCCTGAACCGTGGCGGCCTCACAGTCATTTTCCTAAGGTCCAACGGAGTCGCCTCGGCTAGCTTGGACAGCACAAAGGTGGGCATCGCACGCCATGCCTACCTTAAGACAGGCGGCCTCAAAGCGGCGAGTGCGCAGGCGCAGAGTCGGACCTCTCGAGGGGTGGGCAGTGCTGCCAGCTGCAGGCCTCGCTCTGGCCCCGCCCCACGCCGAACGTGTGATCGCGGGATCGCCCAGGAAACGCATTCTACGGGAACCCGCAGCGCCAATGGGAAGAGAGCGAGTGCCACAAACTGACCAATGAGGAGGGAGCGGCCCGGGGTTTAAACCCAGGCCCGGCAGACTCCTCCCGGCGTGCTGTAGAGGAACGGCTGTTAGTGTTTAGGTGTGGGCAGCCAGAGGTTAGGGTGTCTTCTCCGTTCGGCGAACCTCTGCTTCAGGAGGAGCCATGGCGCTCAGGGTCACAAGGGTGAGTCGGGCCGGGCGCTGCCGTCGTCGCTGTGGGAGAAGACCGCGGCGGCCAGGAGGGGGATTCCGGGAGGGCGCCGGTGAGGTGGGGAGCTGAGGAGCCCCCCAATGCAGGGTGAGGAAGACCTCTGAACCTATCGGGGCGGAAGGACTTGTGGGGAGTGGGGGGTGTGCTTTCAGTGATGAAGGCCCAGAGCGAATCCTTCGCTTTCCCAGAGAGCTGTCTACAACGGAGGCTTTCTTTCGTGTTTAGGGTTGCTTGGGTTTTCAGGGGAAGTTGGGTAATAGGTGAAAGATTTGGGTGGAAGGAAACCTGCTTGTCAGGGCCGGAGGCTAGATCCTAGAACCTTTGCTTTCCTTAGTTGGGTCCCGCCTTAATTAACCCAAGACTTCCTAGAGGCGCCATGGATCCTCTCTCAAGTGGTTCTTTCTTCTTTCAGAACACAAAAATTAACACAGAAAATAAGGCCAAGGTCAGTATGGCAGGCGCCAAGCGTGTGCCTGTGGCAGTTGCTGCTGCCTCCAAACCCGGGCTGAGATCGAGAACCGCTCTTGGAGATATTGGTAATAAAGTCAGCGAACAGGCAAGAGTGCCTCTGAAAAAGGTACCTATCTTCCTTGCCCAGTTAACCTGAAAAAGCCCATTTGCTAGCTGTCACCTTTGGAAAAAATGTTCTGTTCTTTCCCTTTCATTCACAGGAAGCAAAAACGTTAGGTGCTGGAAAAGGTACTGTTAAAGTTCTGCCAAAACCTGTGGAGAAGGTGCCTGTGTGTGAGCCAGAGGTGGAACTTGCTGAGCCTGAACCTGAGCCTGAACATGTTACAGAAGAGAAGCTTTCTCCTGAACCTATTTTGGTAAACTTAGCATTTTTTAATTAAAAGTTTATTTCTAGCCGGGCAGTGGTGCCGCATGCCATTAATCCCAGCACTTGGGAGGCAGAGGCAGGCAGATTTCTGAGTTCGAGGTCAGCCTGGTCTACAGAGTGAGTTCCAGGAGAGCCAGGGCTACACAGAGAAACCCTGTCTTGGGAAAAAAAAAAAAAGAAAGAAAGAAAGAAAAGTTTATTTCTTCTCTGACTTCATTTCACTTTGATGCACACAACAGCATTTAAATATATTATTTATTGAGTGGCTAGCAAAAGCATTTTACATGCTTTAACAACTCTGGGTGAGTATTAGCACTCTGCTTCAGATGATGGCAGACAAATATGGTGTTCTATGTAGACAGTGTCTCACTATGTACTCGTGTGATGGTTTATGCATGTTTGTAATTTTAGCACATTGGCTAAGGCAGGAGGTTTGCAAGTTCAAGGCTAGCCTGGGCTCTCTGGGTTTGTAATCAGGAACTTGTATTCACCTGAATAAAGATTGAACCCTTGGCATTCTTTTGAATCAACTTCACATGATTCTGATTAATAAATGGCTTTATCACTTATCTGTTTCCTTTGACTTGCTTTACATGCTAGTATTTAGAGTCCTTTTGTGTGTGTGCCCAATCATGTGTATGTCAGGCCTGAAGAGAGCCGGAGTTACAGGCATTTGCGAGCCACCCAATGTGGATGCTAGGATCTGAATTCTGGTCCTCATGCAGAGTATCCAGGGCTCTTTAATTGCTGAACCATCTTTCCAGCTCCCATCCTCTCTTCAGTATTTTGTGTGTGAATACATGGTCATAGAGGTTGAAAGACTTTTGAGTCAGTTCTTCCTCGTGTGGGTCCTGGGGTTGAACTCAGTTGTTAGGCTTGGCAACAGGCACCTTTACTCCGTCTTGCCAGCCCAGTTGTTCCTACTTTAAACTGCCTTAATCTAAATTGGAATTTATTTTTTTATGAGACCAGATCTTGCTGGCTTGCAGTTTGCTATGGAGACCAGGCTGGCTTCAACTGAGAGATCTGCCTCCCAGATGTTGGGGTTAAAGGCATGTAGTACCATGCCTGGCTCTGTTTATTGGTTTGTTTTTGTTTTTTAAGATTGTTTTTTCCTGAGTGGGATGTGGGTTTGCACATGCATGCAGGGCCCAAGGAGGCCAGGAAAGGATGTCAGGTATCCTGGAGCTGAGGTTGAGTCACCTGGTTCCTGAATAGAAACTGGACTCCAGCCCTTGGCAAAAGCAGCACATGTTCTTTACAGCTAAAACAGTCACTGCAGCCCTGTACTAAGCATTTCCCTAAAAGAAGTTTCAGGGACTCTGAAATGCCTTTCCTTTGATAAAATGAATCTCATTTATTCAGAATGACTTATTGAATCGGGGATACCAATACTGACTTTCCTTCCTATAGTGTAGCATGTTTCATGGAGTCTTTGCTTTTCCAAGGTTGACAATCCCTCTCCAAGCCCAATGGAAACCTCTGGATGTGCACCCGCAGAAGAATATCTGTGTCAGGCTTTCTCTGATGTAATTCTTGCAATGAGCGACGTCGATGCAGATGACGGAGCCGATCCGAACCTCTGCAGTGAATACGTGAAGGATATCTACGCTTACCTCAGACAGCTGGAGGTCAGTGCTGTTATTACCAACTGCAGCTGGGTTTATTAGAGACCCTTACTTACTCTTGCTGTTTTAAGGTCCTCCTAGGTCAGTATTCCAGGTGCCGGAATTAAAGGGCCATGCTCCACTATACCTGGTTTATTTTTTTATGTTATTTACATATATACGTAGACCAGGTTAGCCTGGAACTTGCAGAGATCCTTCTGTCTCTTGGGTGCTGGGATTAAAGTCCTATGACACCAACTCAGCTATCAAAGATTTTTGTTGTTGTTGTTGTTTTGGGGTTTCTCTGTGCAGTCCTGGCTGTCCTGGAACTCACTCTGTAGACCAGGCTGGCCTCGAACTCAGAAATCCACCTGCCTCTGCCTCCCAAGTGCTGGGATTAAAGGCATGCGCCACCACTGCCCGGCTCAAAGATAGTTTTATCAACATTGCACTTGACATTTCTTAACAACAAATAACACTGGAAACACTACTGTTAGCTTTGAAACACTAAGAATAAAGTCACTAACCTCATGAAGTGGACTTCCACTGTGAATATAAAGTTTCTGTGTTGGAGATACCTTCCTAAAATAGACATGTCACAGATAGGAAAGTCCTAAACTAGTGGGTTTAGAAGGGGAGTAGATGACGATGCTCTAGCGCTGCCCCAGCACAAGGCATATTGTGTCAGTGTGCATGTGCTTGTCTGAAAAAAAGACTGAAGTTGTTGGTTTCTTAGCCTACTTGGAAAGCTTTCTATTAATGGAACTTGCCCTTTTATCTTATTAAACAAAACATTCTATAGCTAATAAAGTTTTATCAGGTTTTAAATCCTTCCTGTTCCTTCCCCCGCCCCAATCCTAGGGACAGAATACAGGACCTTGTACATGCTAGCTAAACAAGCACTTTGCCACTGAATTATATCCTAACATTGTCTTCTCAGGTTGACATTGGGTTTTTATTGTTGGGGTTTTGTTTGGTTTTTTAGTCTCTTGTGTTTTGTAATAGCGTTGTTGTGTGGGTGGGCACATGTCGGGGTCAAAGGACAACTTTGAAGAGTTGGTTTCCTTTCGGAGTGGCAGCAGCACGTGTCTTTAATCCTAGCACTGAGAAGGCAAAGGGAGGCAGATTTCTGAGCTAGAGGCCAGCCTGGTCTACATAGTGAGTTCCAGGACAGTCAGAGTTACACAAACACTTTTCTTGAAAAACAAAAACACGCTGGGCGGCAGTGGTGCACGCCTTTAATCCCAGCACTTGGGAGGCAGAGACAAGTGGATTTCTGAGTTCGAGGCCAGCCTGGTCTACAGAGTGAGTTCTAGGACAGCCAAGGCTACACAGAGAAATCCTGTCTCAAAACAAACAAACAAAAAAACAAGAGTTGGTTCTCCTGCCTTCTGTGGGTCCTGGGATTGAATTTAATTCAGCAGACCTTTCCCACAAAGCTATGTTGCTGACCCCCATTCTTTGTTACCATTAGTATTTTCTAAAGTAGTCTTCAGTAAGATCTGGTTCCAAACTAGCTGTCTTCTTGTTTATTCTTAACACTTCTGAAGATTTGTGTTCTAACCTGCAGAACTGGGCTTGGTTGTTGTGCTGTTAGTGTTGAGTTTATACCTCAGAGCAACTTTGCAGCAGATCTAAAACTTGTTTTTTTTCTGTATCACAAAGCTCTTAATCTTGAGTGAAAAGATCTGAGATAGTGATGGGTACAGATTGTGAGTACTGATGTGTACAGGATGCAAGCTGCAGTAGTTCTGGCTAACCAGATGCCACTTTAGCAGCAATACGAGAGCCTACTGTGACTTTCTAAACTTTGCTTTCTTGGTGAACTTCTGCCCCAGAGCTATTTATTTCATGTTAGTTAACTGGCTTTTATGGACACATGGTGTATGATGTGATGCTTCTAGAATAACTGGCATTTTTCTTTTGCAGGAAGAGCAGTCAGTTAGACCAAAATACCTACTGGGTCGTGAAGTCACTGGAAACATGAGGGCCATCCTAATTGACTGGCTAATACAGGTTCAAATGAAATTTAAGCTGCTGCAGGAGACCATGTACATGACTGTGTCCATTATTGATCGGTTCATGCAGGTATGTGTAATTCAGCAATTGAGAATTCTCCAGTTGTAGTTCTATGAGAATCTTGGAGGAGGGGAGGTGGACGCTGAAGGTTCAACCTCAGGTCCTGTAGATGGTAGGTACCTTAACTGCTGAACTCTATTATACCTAACCTAAAACTGAATCCTTTCTCGGGAGGCAAAGTGTCATCAGTTGAGATGTTCAAGTACATACTGTTCATTGAACTTGCTATTGCAGAACAGTTGTGTGCCCAAGAAGATGCTACAGCTCGTTGGTGTAACTGCCATGTTTATTGCAAGCAAATATGAGGAGATGTACCCTCCAGAAATTGGTGACTTCGCTTTTGTGACTAACAACACTTACACTAAGCATCAGATCAGACAGATGGAGATGAAGATTCTGAGAGTTCTAAACTTCAATCTGGGTCGCCCTCTGCCTCTGCACTTCCTCCGTAGAGCATCTAAAATTGGAGAGGTACAAATTTCTTGAGAAATTTTTTGTTTTTCCATATGAGAAAATAAATACAACTGCTAACTTAAATGTTAAATACATTAAATACTATAAAAATAAGGCTGCTGACCTAACTACATATTATGTGGTTACTGTTAAGGACATCTGAGGACAATTGTCTTTGAGAGTTTGTAGTCACAGTCAGGGCTTTGTAAGTTTTTGCTAAAGGCTTAGAGTGGTGTGTGGTCTGTTCCAGGTTGATGTCGAGCAGCATACTTTGGCCAAATACCTCATGGAGCTCTCTATGCTAGACTATGACATGGTGCATTTTGCTCCTTCTCAAATTGCAGCTGGGGCTTTTTGCTTAGCACTGAAAATTCTTGACAACGGTGAATGGGTAAGCTGTCTTATCAATCTACCAAGCATTCGAATGAACCATGTAGTGTTAAGATCATTCTGCTGGTTCCTAATATGGAAGGAGTGTGAACATAAATGGTAACCCATATGTTGTGCTGCCATCTTAGAATGGCTCTGCTTCTGTAGCTAACATCCTTTGGAGAAAGGAAGGCACACCAAGTGATCTAAGAAACCCATCTACATTCTTGGAGGTGCATTTCTCATGCACCAGGTGCTATCCTCACCTTGAGATAGAGAAGCCATAGTTGCAATATTGTGCCTAGATTAGAGCTCAAGCTCTTCCACAAGTATACATTGGCACGGAGGTGTCTTAAGTTTCAGGTGTGATTACCGTACACTGTCCACCCGCTGGACTCTTAAATAGCATCTAGAACGTTTTGAAAGCTGCCGGTGTTTTAATCATGTTTTTGTCGTCGTAGACACCAACTCTGCAGCACTACCTATCCTACACTGAAGAATCCCTGCTTCCTGTTATGCAGCACCTGGCTAAGAATATAGTCATGGTGAACCGTGGCCTTACAAAGCACATGGTGAGTGAAATTTCAAGGCTTTAGTCCCATCACTGCAGGCAGGGAGAGGCAGGTTCTGAGTTCAAAGCCAGCCAGGACTATAGAAAGATTGATTGTTTTTATTTTTTAAGTTAAAATATAATTATATCAAAAAAAGAAAAAGAAAAACAGGTAGTGGTGGTGCACGCCTTTAATCCCAGCACTTGGGAGGCAGAGGCAGGCGGATTTCTGAGTTTGAGGCCAGCCTGCTCTACAGAGTGAGTTCCAGGACAGCCAGGGCTACACAGAGAATCCCTGTCTGGAAAAGCCATATATATGTAATATAAATAATATATATAATATATATATATATATATATATAATCATTTCTATCTCTTCCCTCCCCAACCACCCCCTGCACACCCCCATTGGCATGGTTTGTTTCTTCCTTGATTATAGTGCTTTTCTCTTACAGACTATCAAGAACAAGTATGCAACATCTAAACATGCTAAGGTCAGCATGCTGGCACAGCTGAACTGTACACTAGTTCAGAATTTGTCTAAGGCCGTGACAAAGACATAACTCCAATGGACTACTGCATCTGCAAATGCAGTTGGCACCATGTGCCGCCTGTACATAGGATACCGTGTTTACTTGCTCTTCAATAAAGGTTGTGAATTTTTACTTTGCATAGTTTAACTCATTTGAATGTGGTTGCTTCTGACTTTAAGATAACAGAAGTTGTCAAAGAATTTAGGAGTATATTAAGAACTGCTTCTAGAGCCAGGCAGTGGTGGCGCACGCCTTTAACCCCAACACTTGGGAGGCAGAGACAAGTGGATTTCTGAGTTCGAGGCCAGCCTGGTCTACAGAGTGAGTTCCAGGACAGCCAGGGCTAAACAGAGAAACCCTGTCTCGAAAAGAAAATAAACCCTGCTTCTAGTTTAACAGCTGTCAACTAATGTATATATTTGTATCCTATATGTTCGTGTCCTTCACTGTTTGTCCTTATCATATATATCATGTAAAGTCTTCTGCCTAGCTCTGGTTTAAACTCTTAAGTCTACCGGCTAGTCCTTTGTTCCATTTTCTTAGAGGTGGTTGCCACCTTTAACTACTGTCTCTTGATCTGTCAACTTTCATATCTGAAACCAAGAATTTTTGTTATGTAAAATAGGATGTTCAAAATTAAAGGTGTCTTTTAAAAGAATTTGCCCCCAAATCTCAATACCAATCAGGGTGTATTTTTGTATATCCTGTATAGATACAATCATGCATAGATTGTTAAGGAGATATTTTTATAGGTTCATTTTATCAACAGTATTCCTTTCAGCATTCCTTTCAATACCTATATTGTTGTATTTCCTAGTGTGAACAAACTGTATGTAATATATTCAGTCATTCCCCTAGTGATATTCATGTGTGTTCTCTTGTTGCCCTCCACACAGCGCTTCTGAAATGCTGTTTGATGCCTTGCTTGGCTTCATGTGTAGTAGCTCTCCCAGGGGGTGTGCTTTCAATTTTGACAGCCAGATGAGTGTGCCAAGGTGCACTTCTCTCGCCTGTTTTGTAACTCCAACTGGAAAAGAAATCCTGTCTCATTTGCTGTTTTAATTTATACATCCGATATCAAGTTGAATAAAATTGTATTGATAGCAAGCTTTCCCAGTTCTCATTTGCCCATTTTGACTGTGTTGTCTGTTGGTATATGGAAACTTTATGTGGCTAAAAACCATATTTCTAGTTCTAGATATTCAATCTTAAAGGTCAGCCAACCCAGAAGTGTGCACGCCTTGTAGTCCCAGCACAAGGGAGGCAGAGACAGGTGGACTTTGTGGGTTCAAGGCCAGACCCTGTCTTAGAAAAGGTATTTTTCCTAATCCCAGCACTTGGGAGGCAGAGGCAGGCGGATTTCTGAGTTCAGGGCCAGCCTGATCTACAGAGTGAGTTCCAGGACAGCGAGGGCTACACAGAGAAACCCTGTCTCGAAAAACCAAAAAAAAGCGGGGGGGGGGGGGGTTCCCAAAATGCTTTCTCTTTTAGGTGTATATTCCTTCAGTATAGTATTAAGTGATATGATGGACAATTCTTCAGATGGACACCCATTTATCACTGATTAAAAAAAGTCTTAAGTACAATTTTAAGTGCGCCTATCTGATCTAAATGGTGTTATTCCCCTGTAATAATAGGAATTTTTTTTTAAACTGAGTTCTGAGTTTTTGTGGCCACACAGGGCTTGACTATTTTCAAGTATTTGATGTTTAATTGCCAGTACAAGGTTTTACCTGTATGTTACACTAGCTTGGAGTGTGTCTTGTTACTTAAAAACTTCTTGTAGGCATTGTATGATCCTGAGGTTCTTATGCTGCGGTTTTTCACTTGTGAAAAGTCAACTACTTTTGGCTTTTGAAATTAAAATATAATTGCATAATTTCCCCTTTACCTTTCTTCAACCTCTCCCATGTAACCCCACCCCCTTGCATTCTCAAGTTCATGGCCTTTGGCTTTTATTGTGGTATATATGTTCATAAATATATAAATATCTCAATCTGTATGATGTTACTTTAATGTATATAATTTTAGCACTGATCACTGTAGCTGTCTTGGATTGGGCCTTTTCCCCACGAGTTTTCCCTTCTGTGTTAGCATCCTTGTTGAAGTCTTGTTTATGCAGCCTTGTTGAGACTTCATGGGTATAGGTTCCCTGACATCGAGGAGACACAATCTCAAGCAGTCTTCCTCGTCCTCTGGCTTCCCCTCTCTCCAGTGTTCTAAGTGCAGTTGTTGATACCTGAGCTGGAGTAGAACAGGACAGCATCCTTTGCTTTGCATTTCATAGATTGGGTTTCTGTGGGTATAAGGATAAATATTTCAAATGCAGTGCTTGTATGAGCTGCCTCTCCTGGTGGCTTGGGTCTCTCAATCCTTCCTTACCATCCTAAATGCTGGGCTGCCTCTTCCTGCCTTTGGTTTGCTTCTGTTCTATGGAAGAGGTGGTAGGGATTCTAATTCAGGCCTCACACATGCCTTTGTAACAAGTTGAGATACACTCAACAGCTCACGTAGAGGCTAAATTTTTAGTTTTTATTTAAGAGTTTGGCATAAGATGTTTTGATTCTATTTGCTACCCACTCCCAACCCCCACCAAACTCTTCCCACATCCATCCCCTTCCAACCCAACGTTATGCCCCAGGGTCTGAGTCTTTAAGTGACAGCTGTAGTACTTTGATAACAGGACAGTGTTAACCAATAAGCTTGGCATGGTTCCAACTTGGGGAATAGCTATGAAGGAGCACAGCCCTTCCTTTCAAAGAGCTGCTGTTTTGTTCTGCAAGGATGAATCCCTCAAGTGACTATGAAAAGATTACTAGTGAATCAAGCATTCCTCAACATCAAGTCTCATTGTAACCTTATCAAGTCAGAAAGAAGACACTTGGGAACACCCAGTTCACAATGTGATCTGCAATCCAAACCACACTTGCACCAACCCTCCAACAAGATCTTGACATGTTCTCCGTCCTGTACCTACTGTGTATCCTAGGCTGGTCTCCAACTCATGGCATTCTTGCCCAACCAACCTCCTGTTCTAGGATTGCAGATAATCCTTCCCTATTTCTAATAGAATTTTCACTGATAGCCAGATGAAGTACCAGTGCAAGGAGTTAGAGGGCATGTTTGTGGCACGGTAAAGTCTGGAGAGCTGCCTCCTGGTTATTTCTCCACTAAACGACCTCAGTATGGACCTCAGGAGCTGCAGTAGGGATCGGGGATGTAGTTCAATGAGAGACCCTAGATTTGTTCCCAGTACAGCAAGGAAGTCTTTCAACACAACACTGCAAGAGTCCAGTGATTCTCAGCACTTGGAAGGTGGAGGATTGCTAGTTCAAGATCAGCTTGAGTTGCATGAGACCCAGCCTCAAAATTTAAAGGGAGAGGGCAGAAGCTAAGAGAGATGATTCAGTGGTTAAGATCACTGGCTCTTTTGGAGGACCCAGGTTCGATTCCTAGCCCCCACATCAAGTGGCTTACAACTGCCAGTAACCCCATGTCTGTAGGGAATCTGATGCTCTCTGGCCTCTGCAGCCACCTGCAAGAACATGCTTCACTTATCCTTCCTTTCAGGGCAAATCCACCCTCCAAACCCTGACATGGAGTGTAATAAGAGGGACAATGAGAGCACCCAGACAGGACGACTATTGACATCTGTTGAGGCCAGAGCTTTTCCCGCTCCGGGCCACTCTAAAGATATAGCTTAAGTTATAGCCTAAGGTTTCTCGAGGTACTAGACATGCTAGGTAAGCGTTCTACCACTGAGCCACATCTCCAGATATCCCTACCCAAAGGCTTCTTTCTATTCGAGCGCGTGCTGGTGAAAGTCTTCCCTAGAGGAATAGAATCAATTCTGGGAAGCTTCGGAAAGGAACGCAGCACGGTAACCAAGGCAACCCGCCGCAGGGGGTGAGGCCGAAGGTGGGACTCTGGGCGGAAGGGGCGGGACGAAGGTGGATAGGCACTTCCGGCAGTCAATTTCGTGGCGGGAAGAACAGCTTGGTTATTTTCTGTGAAGCTCAAACCTGCGACCGCTTCAATGGAGCAGCCTCACGAGAGGCCTGAGGCCGGGGATGAGGCCTGCGGAGAGGAGCGGGGTCTGTCGCAGCCCGCGGAGGAGCGCATCGAGGACCGCATCAGCCTGCTGCTCAGGTGCTCCCGGCGGGCATCCGCCCTCACTCCGGAGGCCCAGGGTTCAAATTCAATCTCACTGGCTGATTTAGGGCTCCGAGCCTTGCGGCACCATCAGTTTAACCTGACAGCTTTAGGCCCGTGGGGAAGAGAGCCGCAAAGGATACCTCCTCTCCGCGCAGAGAGACGAGGGGGCTGAGGTGGGACAGTCTGCGGAAGTGCGTAACGCAGTGCCCAGTCCCTAGCCAGGCTTGCGACCTGTCCTCCAGTCCTGTCTTGCCACTGTGGTCCTTGCTGGCTGAGCAGTACAGCCAAGGCAAGTTACAGGAGGGAGGGAGGAAGGGGCAGCACAGCCCGCCTTTAGGACTAAGACTCTTTGCTGTCCAGAAGCTCGTTTGTTTATCCTTCTCCTAGGACAATGATGCTCTCCAGTCAGCAGTTTTTAGGGAAAATTTGGTGGCAAGGAACTTTAGTCTAAGGCCTGGACCAAATCTGCCCTACTGCCTGTGATGAACTCTTCAAACTAAGAAAAGCAGCGTCTGGTGTATGCATAGCGAGTGCCATAGGGCTCAGTTACAGCATAGTTTTTCAGAATTTAAATAGAGATAAGAGCCAAAAATATTTTGTAATACATGAAATCCAAGCGTTAGTGTTCATAAAATTTATTGGGACACAGTTTTCTGCTACAGTTACATTGTTTTAAAACACTGTACGACTCCCAAATCCCTAATTATTTGCTATCTGGTTCTGGTTCTTTATAGAAAAAAAAACAAACAAACAGGTTTTTCTTTTTTTTTCAGACCTTTAAAACTCATAACAAAGAGACTTGTTTTAAATTTTTGAGACAGGGTCTTGTTGTGTAACACTGGGGGACTATAACTATGTATGCCAGGCTACCCTTGAACTTGTAGCAGTCTCCTGCTTTTTGCTTTTTCCTTCAGGGTGCTAGAATTATAGTCATTAAGGACCATGCCCAGACATGCACAGACATGTCTGTCTATAGTCATGACAACTTCATCCCATTTCAGCTAAAGAACAAACTATTTTTTGAGTGTATCAATACTCTGAGTTCTACCGTAATCTGTAATAATGTGTCAGTGATGGGGATTGTTTTTGGCAATAGTAATGATTGAACCTAGGGCTCAAGCATCTTAGGCAAGCTCTCTAAGACTGAGTGCTTTTTGACACAACATCTAACAGCCCTTTTTGACTTTTTATTTTGAGCTTGAGTTTGATAAGTTGCCAAGATTGGTTTAGAACTTACTGTGAAATACTGGCAGGCCTGTACTGACCTTCCGATCCTCCTACCTCAGCCTTCCAAGTGACCAGGATGGCTAGCCGAGCCTAGTGTTAAGTTGTTGTTTTCATTTGGAATTGTGTTGTTAAAAGAACTTGCCAGACAGCAGTGGCACACCCCTTTAATCACAGCACTTAGGAGGCAGAGGCAGGGGGATCTTTGAGTTCAGGGCCAACCTGGTCAGGAAGACTTAACAGAGCCAACTAACCTGGACCCTTGGTGGCTCCCAGAGACTGAATCACCAACCAAAGATCGAGCACAGGCTAGACCTAGACCCCCTTCACATATGTAGCAGATGAACAGCCTGGGCATGTGGGTCCCCCAAACAGGTGGAGCAGGGGCTGTCCGTCCCTGAGCCTGTTGCCTACCTGCCAGGGCTATATAGTGAAACCCTATCTTGAGAAAGAAAAAAAAAAAATAAAATAAGAACTTGATGTAGTGTAAGCTTTCTGTCAAGTGTTTCTTAGTTGTAGATATGGGTCTCCAAAGACAAACTCTCAGGACTATGTGACTGGCACTAGAAGCACGTACCATCTTTCCCAACTACTTTTTATATATTTTATGTTTGACTTTGGATTAGGAATAATAAAACTGAAGAAAAAACTACTAAATATTAATTACTTAGCTGTCCACAGATTATTTTTTTTTATTTACCAAAATGTTTTTTAAATTTTTATCATTTTTAATTTTTTTGTTTTTTTGTTTTTCGAGACAGGGTTTCTCTGTGTAGCCCTGGCTGTCCTGGAACTCACTCTGTAGACCAGGCTGGCCTTGAACTCAGAAATCCGTCTGCCTCTGCCTCCCAAGTGCTGGGATTAAAGGCGTGCGCCACCACTGCCTGACCTCATTTTTAATTTTTTAAGATATATTTTTGAAGCTGGGTAGGGGAGGTACATGCCTTTAACCCCAGCACTCAGGAGGCGGGGGTAGAAAGATATCTATGAGTTTGAGGCCAGCCTGGGCCACAGAGTGAGTTCCAGACCAGCCAGGGCTACACAGAGAAATCCTGTATCAAATAAAAACAAATATTTTCGTTATTCTTAGGTTGTGCGTGCACGTGTGTGTGTGTGTGTGTGTGTGTGTGTGTCTATGTACATGCATGGATTTGCCCTTGGAGTCCAGAGGTGACAAATACCTGCTGGAGCTGGAGTTACAGGTGACTGTGAAGAGCCCAGTTTTGGTGCTGGAGACCAAACTCAGATCCTCTTACAAGAGCAGTACCCACTTAATAACTGAGCCAACTTTCCAGCCCCTCCTGGAAATATTAGTCTGTATGTAAAGCTGGTAGAGTTTGGGGGTGTCATCACTTTGGGCTACCTACCTGTAGAAGTTTTCATTAACCATGTTTTGGTCTGGCTAATGAATGTGTAAGAATTCCATTTTTAACTTTTTCTCCAAGGTGCTGTTTCCCCACTGTCTTCCATTTCCCGTCTTCTTCTTGTCAACTATTTTAAATAAAGCGAGGCTGCATGAGAAGACTTTGAAGTTGCTTCATTTATTGCATGATGGTGATGACCGTCATCCATAAACACTTTTCCTGTCTGTCCTCTCTTTGCATTTTCAGACTGAGAGCACAGACAAAACAACAGCTCTTAGAATACAAGTCCATGATCGATGCAAGTAAGTCACTTAATTTTCAAATAAGCTTCGTGAGTTTGCTGATGAATGCTATTTATTTAAAATTTTATTTATTTTTATTTTATGTGTATGTGTTTTGCCTGCTCTATGTCTGTACTCATGAAGTCAAAAGAGTATATTAGATCCCCCAGAACTGGAGTTACAGAGGTTATGAGCTACCATCTGGGTGTTCTCCAGCCCCCAGATGAATGGTTGTCTTAGTTAGGATTTTACTGCTGTGAACAGATACCATGACCAAGGCAAGTCTTCTAAAGGACAACATTTAGTTGGGGCTGGCTTACAGGTTCAGAGGTTCAGTCCATTATCATCAAGACAGGAGCATGGCAGCATCCAGGGAGGCATGGTGCAGGAGGAGCTTTGAGTTCTACATCTTCATCTGAAGGCTGCTAGTGGAAGACTGACTTCCAGGCAGCTAGGATGAGGGTATTAAAGCCCACGCCCACAGTGACATATCTACTCCAACAAGGCCACACCTTCTAATAGGGCTACTCTCTGGGCCGAGCATATACAAACCATCACAGTAGTATTCTTGGGAAAGAAAATTAGCTCTACAAGAAGTGGTTTTTCTCAGGCATGTTAACTCATGCCTTTAATTCCAGAGAGAGTCCAGTCTCTGTTAAGTTTGAGCCCAGCCTGATTTCCATATTGAGTTTCAAGCTAGCCAGAACTACGCATCTGGAGAAAAGAAACAAGTTGTTTGTGTGCATTCTATGTAGCAAAACAGGTAAACAAAGGGGCATGCAAGATAGTCATGAAGTGTGACAGGGCGGCAACAGACTGATCAGTGGTTCAGGTGAGTGCCCACAAGCCTGATGCCCTCGGTTCATGGGCTTAGCGCCCACTGACTCTAAAGGAGAGAACTGTCCTGACAAGTTGTTCTGTGACTGTCACATATGCTTCCTGGTATGCACACACACTAAATATTTATTTAATAAAAGTGTTACTGACTTAAAAAAACATTTTACTTGTAGGTGAAGAAAAAACTCCAGAACAGATGATGCAAGAAAAACAGATTGAACTGTATGTCATATTTTAATCTTTTATATGTGGCTTTTACTAAGATTTAATTATATGATCTGTGTTCCAGGGCTGTCTTTCTTTTCCTTTATGATTCTAGATAAATAAGTCAGGCCTAAGTTGGGAGCTTGGTGATTTGCAGTGGAGTGTTTGGCACTAGGGGGTGGTTGCATCTCTGCTGTCTGGTATGTCTTACAGGGTCTAGATGCTTAGCAAAGAATCTCAGCTCAGCTCACCAGCTGTGCAGACAGGCTCCTGTGTGGTGGGCTGTAGTTTTCTTCTGTTGAAATAAAGATATTCAACTTTCTTCCCAAGGGTTACTTTGTACACAGTTCAGTAACCACTTTGACATTGCTGAAAGTCGTTCATGTTTCTTTAATAGTAAAATCGAAGACCTGGAGAATGAAATTGAAGATGTAAAAAGTAATTTTGAAATGAAAAGTCTTGCACTGAGCAGGTAATTCTTACTTTACTACTAACAGTAAGAATTAGGGGATAGGTGCCGGGAAGTGGTGGCGCACGCCACTTGGGAGGCAGAGGCAGGCGGATTTCTGAGTTCAAGGCCAGCCTGGTCTACAGAGTGAGTTCCAGGACAGCCAGGGCTACACAGAGAAACCCTGTCTCGAAAAACAAAAAAACAAACAAACAAACAAACAAAAAAAGAATTAGGGGATAGATGCAAACCTGAGCAACGAGGGAAGGTTGGGGGTGGAGGGTTTAAACTAAGCTGAATTGAATGATGATTAGAAGCCAAGCATACTGACAAATGCCTATGACCCCAGCACTCAAGAGGCTGAAGCTGGAGGGCTATGAGTTCAAAGCCAGCCTTAGCTACACAGGGACAGCCTATTAGTAAATGGGGGAGGGTTTGGGTTTTGTTAGGTTTAATGCTGGTTTTTTTTTTTTTTTTTTTTTTTTTTTTGGTTTTTCGAGACAGGGTTTCTCTGTATAGCACTGGCTGTCCTGGAACTCACTCTGTAGACCAGGCTGGCCTCGAACTCAGAAATCCACCTGCCTCTGCCTCCCAAGTGCTGGGATTAAAGGCGTGCGCCACCACCGCCCGGCTTGCTGTTTTGTTTTGTGTTGTGTTTTGTTTAGAGATAAGTGCCTAGGACTGGAATTCGTGAGGTTGCTTTCTCTTCCCAGGTTCTGGGATTATAGGCATATTGAACATGTTTAGCCCTACATTGGCATTTTAGATGTATTTGAGCAGATGTGTGAATATAAATATAATATAATAAAATATAAATTTAATTTTTATCTTCATTTAAAAAGCAGCTAGATCAGGCTGGGGAGATGGTCTGGCAGGTAAATGTACTTGCTGACAAATCCAATGACCTGAGTTTGATCCCTAGAATCAACATGGTTGACAGAGAGAACCAGCTCCCAGAGGTTGCTCTGTGACCTCTCCACCTGTTCACCCTGCCATGTGCACACATATATATATACACGAAGTCACATATAAACACACATACATATACACACACAAGCACACATGTACACACACATAAAAGAACAAAGTAATTAAAGCTATTTTAACTAGTTGTGTAGAGAGGAAAGCAAGAAATAACTGTTACCGCTGCAGACTTAATTGTCCAATTCAGATTGCCCTCCAACTCTAGATCCTCCTGCCTCAGACTCCTGAATGGTAGGAACTATAGGCATATCCCACTGTGTGCCTGCTTGTGTGTGTGTGTATGTTAGAGACAGAGCCCTGTGCCTTGCACAAGCACACTGTGCCTGCTTAAAGTAGTATCCTTTAGCAGTTCACAGGAAAAAAAAACAGTTCACAGAAGAGCTGGCACGGTGGTGCATGGACATGTATAAAGAAGTAGAGACAGAAGGATAGAAATTCAAGGTCATCCTCAACTACAAAAGAGCTTGAGGCTAACCTAGGCTACATGCCACCTTCTAGGACCTTAGGGAAAAGATGTAAAATTTCCATCTGTGTCCAGCATCCTCAGCAGGCCCATACTGATGTCTGTAAGGCCTAGCTGCTTCCCCAACTCTGCCCCACAGTGAATAGCTGAGGATCGATTCCAATCCACGCCTCAGCTTGGCCACACACAGTCACAGGCCACACACAGAGTGACAGGCCACAGCCTCTTCCCTTTGTTGTTCTTTCATATTTTCTTGTTTACTTTAGAGCATTTCCTGGGGTTGGAGTGATCTTAGTGGCTAAGGGCACATAAGGCTCTTGCAGAGGAACTTAGCTCAGTCCCCACTCTGGCAGCTCACTACTGCCTGTAACTCCAGCTCTGGTGGCTCTTGCATCCCCCTGTCATATGTAGAAAACATTTAAAAGCTTTATAAATGTTACTCGTCCTGTATAATACAAGATTCTTTCCTGTAAGATACCATTTTCTTTTTTGTTATTTAATATTTTCTTTTTTTTTTTCTTTCTTTCTTTAGGATGAAACTTTCAACTGCACTTCAAAATAACATGGAGAACATGGGCCCTGAGAGTTGGTATGACTTTTTTTCTCCTGGGTTTGAAAAAAATGGGAAAAATAAGGGAGGTGTGAAAACTGATTTTAGACTGTGACTCCTTTAAAGAACGTGCTTGGCCCAGGGGTGGAGGTGGCTCAGGGGTGGTGGTGCACACCTTTAATCCCAGCGCTGTGTGTGTGTGTGTGTGTGTGTGTGTGTGTGTGTGTAGATCAGAGGACAGCTTGAAGGAGTCCCTTTCTCCTGCCATATTGGCCCTGGGAATTGAACTCAGATCCTCCAGTAACAACTTAATGAAGTAGAAGGGCACTCCTTGTTTTTCATTAGTAGAAATGAACTTGTTTAACCTGCTTGGGCTACAGAGTGAGTTCAAGGATAGCCCAAGCCACTTAATAAAAGCCTGTGTCTAAATGAAAAGTTAAAAAACAAACAAAAAGGTCTGGGGATGTAGCTGTAGCTCAGTGCTAGATGTCGTAGTTCACACGTATGACTCGTGGGGCGTATGACGAGTAAGGTGTATGACATGTAAGGTCAGACCCCGTATGAAAAAGGTGGGTGGGAATCAGGAAGGAAGGAAAACAGGTGCTGGTTCTGCACTTTGTCAGAAGTATAAATAAAAGCTCTGGAAATTGTAAGAGTCTTGCCTCAGGACACATCTCTGATCTCTCTTCCCAAAACTCTCAAAGTCTTGTAATATCCCCTCCCACGAGCACCAGACAAGTTCTGAGGTGGATCTGGTACCTCTCCCATCTTGGTGTCTTCATTCAAGCTGATTTATAATCTCTTGATATTCCTGCTGGCTCAGGTTACAGATCCTAAACTTTGAAGTTTTTAGGTCAGGTGTGTTGGTGCATGCCTTAATCTCTAGGGAGGTAGAGGCAGAGATGGCTCAGCAGTTAAGATCACTGCTGCTCTTCCAGAGGACAGAGGTTCAATTCCCAGCACCCACCTGGTTGCTTATAACTGTCTGTAACACCTATCTCAGGGGCTGATATTCTTTTCTGGCCTCTATGCATATTTGATGCACTTATATATATGCAGGTAAGACACCCATACAATAAAATATAATTTTTTAAAAATGCAGTTTAATGTTAAAGGAGCCAAGTTCAAGATAGACTCACCGTACATATGGCCCCTCCTGAGAACAGAAAGATAGACCCACCATACATATGGGCCCTCCAGAGAACAGAAAGCTCAAACAGGCCAAGCAATGTCTGTGGTATGTTTCGAAGTTTATAAATATTAAAATAACTTGAATGGGGTCGTCACTAGTGTGGACATCTCCAGCTCCTGGGTTGGCAGTGCCTTACATTCCTATGGAAGCAAGCCAAAGCCCAACATAAACAGTAAAACAAATCACTTGAGCAGTCCCTGACTCTAGAAAAGCATTGAGCTGCTAGAGTCTGCTGTGACCCAACACAGACCTGGCCTGCTGAAATCAAGTTAGTAAAGTTTGGCTGATTTTTGTTGTTTTATTTTGAGAAGGGTCTTTCCACGTGGCATGGGATGGCCTTGAACTAGTTATGTGGTACAGGGCTGCCTAAAACTCAAAATCCCCAGCCTGGTCTACAGAGTGAGTTCCAGGACAGCCAGGACTACACAGAAAAACCCTGTCTCGAGAAAAAAAAAAAAAAAAACTCAAAATCCAAAATCCTCCCACCTCACCTTCCTGAGAGGAATTCGTGACTTGTGCCACCGTGCCCAGCTCATGCAGTCAGGGATTAAACTAGAGCATGGTTCAAATGTTTTCATTCTAGGCAAGCACTCTGACAACTGAGCGACATTCCCAGCCCCAAGAGTTACTAGTTTCTTTTGTATTACTTTGCATGGATGGGTGTTCATGGGTGTGTATGCTTGCCTACCACATGCGTGGAGTGTCTGCAGAGGCCAGAAAAGAACATCGCATCCCCGGAACTGGGGTTACAGCGCCACTGTTGTGAGCTGTCATGTGGGTGCTGGGTCTTCTGCAAGAGCAGTAAGTACTCCTAACCACTGAACTATCTCTTGAGTCTGAAGATTTATTATTTTTAGCTAAAATGCACAAGTTGTATCTTTCTTTCCTTTGCAGTGTGCTCACTGATGACATGAAGCACATATTAAAGCTACAAAAGTTAATAATGAAGTCACAGGAGGTAAGGAAGCTGGCACATTGGCTGCTTATGTGATTTTGCTGTCATCTTGCCAGGAACTGTTGCACTGATTCAGATGTTCGGTGGGACTGGGTGACTGCAGATCGAGCTCCTCAGGTTGTTTTATCAAAGAGCTTATTTTTTGCTGATGTTACAAATTACCAACATAATTTAAGTGACTGTCTCCTCCTTCCTTTGGCTTTGTGGAAATAGAGGAATTAAAAAGCCAGCTCTAGGCCAGGTGTTGCTACATACGTGTACCTGTGGACCTAGCCCTTAGGTAGAGACGAGGATCCAGGAGTTTAGTTGTTCTTGGTTCCAAAGTGAGTTGGGGCTAGCCTAGGCTATTTAAGATTCCATCTTAACAAGATAGCTGGGTGTGATGGAACACGTCTTTGCCTTTGATCCCAGCATGCAGAGTTCACAGCCAGCTACATAGTAGACTTTTCAAAATAAAAACCACACAAACAAAAACAAGGATAAGGGAAATTGGAGCCTAAGAAAATCTGAGTGTGTGAAACTCAGTGATATGAGTATTGTAAACTTAGCGTTGAGTGATATGCTTTAATCTGCATTTTAATAACAGGAGTCTTCAGACCTGGAGAAAAGGCTGCTTGATGTCAGAAAGAAGAGACTACGTATGTAGAATATGTTTATCAGTTGTCTGAGAGTGTGTGTGTGTGTGTGTGTGTGTGTGTGTGTGTGTGCACGTGCTATGCTACCCCACCCTCTCCCCTCAGATCCCTGAAACAGTCATAACATATAAGGCAGGAATTTTATGTCCAGTAGTTTGGAGGCCATGGGCTGACTCTAGACAGTATTATTGTCTCATTTGTTACAGATTGGAGTCCTCACAAATTTACTAAATCAAGGATTCTAGGTAAATCATTTCACCCGTAGATCATGAAAACTGTGGGGATCCATACTGCCCTTTTAAAAGAAAACCACAAGAATATATCTATGTGGGAAAACAGTTTTCACATACATTAAAAAAAAACTGTGGGGATCCATACTGCCCTTTTAAAAGAAAACCACAAGAATATATCTATGTGGGAAAACAGATACCTAATAATAGAGTTAGAAAAGCAGGTGTCGGGGCTGGAGAGATGGCTCAGTGGTTAAGAGCACTGACTGCTCTTCCAGAGGTCCTGAGTTCAAATCCCAGCAACCACATGGTGGCTCACAACCATCTGTAATGAGATTTGATGCCCTCTTCTGGTGTGTCTGAAGACAGCGACAGTGTACTCATAAATAAAATAAATAAATCTTTAAAAAAAAAAAGAAAAGCAGGTGTCGTGCCAGGTAGTGGTGACACACACCTTTGACCCCAGTATTCAGGAGATGGGCAGGCAGATGTCCTAGTTTGAAGCCAACCTGGTTTACAGAGCAAGTCCCAGGACAACCAAGGTTACACAAAAGAAACAAGGAAAACACATATCCCCAAGGGATATTCTTCCAGTGAATGTACAACTGAAAGAGGCTAGACGTTTATAAGAACCAAGGCCTGGGGATGTAACTCAGTAGTTTACCCAACATGCAAGAAGCTGTGAGTTTGGGCTGGCCATTCTGGCACACACATGTAATCCCAGCACTTGAAAGAGAGAGACAGGAAGATCAGGAATTTTTTTTTTTAATGTATGTGATTGTTCTGCCATATGTATACCTGCATGCCAGAAGAGGGCATTGGATTCCATTACAGATGGTTGTGAGTCGTCATGTGGTTGCTGGGAATTGAATCCAGGACCTCTGGAAGAGCAATCAGTGCTCTTAACTGCTGAGCCATCTCTCCAGCCCAACAGATCTTTAAAGGAAAAAAAAATAAAAAATAAAAACCATGTGTATCATATTATTTGTTTTTAACCTAACAGAACTAAAACAGGCTTCAAGAAGTAAGCTTTTAGAAGTACAAGCAGAGAAGAACAAACAGAGAGAGGATGTGGACAAGATGGAGAATTCTGAAATGATTAAGACCTTGAAAAAAAATCTACAGATGGAAATAAAGATTACTACAGTTATTCAACATGCATTCCAGGTAACATTTTTATAAATTAAGAACAGAGGTTGCGCCGGGCAGTGGTGGCACTCACCTTTAATCCCAGCACTTGGGAGGCAGAGGCAGGCAGATTTCTGAGTTCGAGGCCAGCCTAGTCTACAGAGTGAGTTCCAGGACAGCCAGGGCTACACAGAGAAACCCTGTCTCGAAAAACCAAACCAAACCAAAACAAACCAAACAAACAAAAAAAAGAACAGAGGTTGCTGGACATGGTAGCACATAGCTATAATTGAAACACTTGGGAGAGAAAGGCAGAGGATCGGGAGTTCAAGGCTAGCCTGAACTACATGAGACCCTGCCTCAATAAAACAGAAACAGGGACTGGAGAGTTGGTTTGTTGGTTAGGAGCACTGGCTACTCCTCCAGGGGACCCAGGTTCAATTCTCAGTACCTACATTGCAGCTCACAACTATGTGCATATAACTGTAGTCCCAGGGGACCTGATCTCTTTGTCTAGCTTCCCATAAAATAGGCTTGGTGAGCAGACAGGCATGTAGATTTAAAAAAATACATATAAAATTAAAAAGACAGAAGACAGCAATCAAAAAAATGTCCATCTTGGGTTGGGGATTTAGCTCAGTGGCAGAGCGCTTGCCTAGCAAGAGCAAGGCCCTGGGTTCGGTCCTCAGCTCGTAAAAAAAAAAAGTCCGTCTGTGCCCCCCAGGGTTTCTCTGTATAGCACAGGCTAGCCTTAATAAACTCACAGAGATCCGCCTGCCTCTGCCTCCTGAGTGCTGGGATTAAAGGCCTGTGCACCACCATCCAGCAAGTGTCCTTTCTATAGGCCAATATTTTTAATATTTTTGTACATAACAGCATAACGCTTATTCTCCAAATTTTTTCTATTATTGTAGTAAGTAACTTACTATCATTGAGCCACATTTATCAAGACATGACCAAAATTTTCATTAATCATGATCATAATGATTTTATCACCCACTCACTGTCTGCCACAGAGAATCTTTCCACTGTTGAGGCTTAAACTTTGATGAACTAAACTCTTCTTTTCATCTCTTTTGAAAATAAGCATTGGCTCAGCGGTTAGGAGCTCTGATTGCTCTTCCAGAGGGCTCAGGTTCAATTCCCAGCACCAGCTGGAGGTTTACCACTGTCTGTAACTCCAATTCAGGGAAACCGAACAGCTTCTCAGAGACTTACATGCAGGCAAAACACCAATGGACGTGAAATTACAAAACAAAGCATATTAGTTATGGTTAAGTTACTGCTTCACCCTAGAGGGACGAGTGTGCACAGAAACATTGCAAGGCTAGCCCTGATCTCAGGCAGCAGTACTGTCCTGTAGTCTGGGGTAGCAGCGCAAGTGCTCTTAATGAATAAAAACTATCCCGGGAACCATAGGTGAACACTGGGAACGTCATTCAGTGTTATGGGAAGCAAGGCTGCCACCCTGCTGACGGTGGGAAACTGAGAATGGAGCACTGTTTTTCCTCGTGATCATAGTGCTGCAGACTAGTAATATTAGCTCAGTAAGTACTAGATGATATCAGTTCAGGCATGCTGGGGACGTAGCTCAGTTGATAGTATTCATGTGGCAGGCACAAAGTCCTGGCTGTGATCTCCAGCCCGAGTGAACTGTGGTCCACATGGCAGGTCCTTGTAATTCTAGCACTGAGTAAGCGGAGGCAGAAAACCTGAAGTTCAAGGCTACCCTCAGCTGCAGAGGTGATGCACAGCATACACAACTAGGTTCAGGGCCAACCTCGGCTACACGGAAACTGTCCAGGAAAAAAAAAAATCAGGAAAGGATTGGTTAAAATCTTGTTAAATTAAGTACTTAGATTTTTTTTTTATTACAGGGCCTTATTCTGGGGAGTAAAACCAACTGGGCAGAGGATCCTGTCCTCAGAGAGACTGTGCTACAGCTGGAGAAGAATCTCACCACACTATAATAAGAATCCGCCTTGGCATTCTAAAGTTGGTTTTGTTCCCAAACTGTCGTTTAAATAGCTGAGTTTATGGGAAATGTAAATAGTGTTTTTGAAACCCCTCTGCTGCTTAATTTTGGGGTTTTGAGTGGATGATAGGTCACAGAATCTTTTGTTTTAAATGTGCTCATCAAGTGACTGGCATACTCTGCAGGAGTCTGAACATCGTAGCCTTGGAAAGAAGCACCTGGTCCTGCTGCCACAGAATGGACGCATCTGTGCAAACGGTTTCCTGGTAGTCCCTTCTGGTGTATGCTTGTGCATCTGTGCACTGGTTTGTCAGCCAAAAATTAGAAAAGCGTCCGAAGTATATTTGTTAAGTAAGCTTATGACTTCTTTTCTCCTTCTCTATTTAGCATGCCTTTTACTTTTATAACTTAAGGAATAAAAAGAATAAATGTTACTGTCTTATTAACTAAAAAAGAAAACTTGCAGGACTGGAGAGATGGCTCAGTGGTTAAAAGAGCACTGACTTCTCTTCCAGAGGACCCAGGTTCAATTCCCAGCAACCACACGGCTGCTCACAACCATCTGCAACTCCAGTTCCAGGGAATCTAACATCCTCTTCTGGCCACAGCCAGACACCAGACATGCATGTGTAGGACATACATACATGCATGCAAAACACACATACATATAAAAAAAAATCTTGTCAAAAATTTAAAAATTTCCCTCCAAACACCACTCGCAAGAGATCCAAAAACAGAACATGGAGTCTGTAAGAGGGAAGTAAGAACCCGTCTCAGTAGCTCATGACAGACGTGTATTTCTGTCCTTGTCAGCTCATCTGGTCACTTGGGGCTTGAGCTGAGAGAGGAGCTACAATCTGAAGTGTGCCACGCAGGAACGTCTGAGATCAAGTCCAGTTACATGAGCAAAAGGCCACCACACAAAACTACACAAGCAAACCGGAAGCTGCTCAGGAGAGGTGGGCCAAGCACCAGTTACAGAAATAGACTTCTTATTTTTTTTTTTATTTTTAAAAATGATTTAGTTTTTTTGCTGGGCAATTGTGGTACATACCTTTGATCCCAGCACTAGGTGGCACAGGCAGGCAAATCTCTGTGAGTTCAAGGTCAGCCTGGTTTACAGAGTAAATTCAGGACAGTCAGGGTTACACATAGAAATCATTTTGAAAAAGAAAAAAAAAAGTGTGTGTGTGTGTAGATGAGTTTGTATATTCCATGTGTATGCAATAGGATACAAACCCCAAAAGAGGGTGTCAGGTCCCTGGGAACTGTAGCTTCAGACAGCTATGAGCTATTATGTGCTGGGAACCAAACCTAGGTCCTCTGCGAGAGCAGCCAGTACTCTTAACTACTGAGGCATCTCTCTAGCCCCAGAAAATGGACTTTTTACTTATTTTTTTATTTTTTTGGTTTTTTCGAGACAGGATTTCTCTGTGTAGCCAGGGCTGTCCTGGAACTCACTCTGTAGACCAGGCTGGCCTCAAACTCAGAGATCCACCTGCCTCTGCTTCCCAAATGCTGAGATTAAAGGCGTGCGCCACCACTGCCCGACGGACTTTTTCTACAGTAGAAGAATTCTACGTTTCTGAAGCATGGAAGGAAAATTGGCTTTTCCTTTTAAATTTTTATTAAAGGGAAGTTCTCTGAATTTGAGGCCGACCTGGTCTACAGATCCAGGTGACAGGCCAACCAGTTGGGGTTACATAGTGAGGCCCTCTCTCAAAAATAAAAATAAAATAAAGTTAAGTGATTCATCTCCCATTGAGGCCAGACAAGGCAGCCCAGCTAGTAGTACATATCCCACATACAGGCGATTGATTGCTTTGGGGATAGCCCCTGCTCCAGTTGTTTGGGACCCACGTGAAACCAAGCTGCACATCAGCTACATGTGTGTGGGGAGGCCCAGGTCCAGCCCATATATGCTTTTTGGTTGGTGGTTCAGACTCTGAGAGCCCCAAGGATACAGGTTAGTTGATTCTGTTGGTCTTCCTGTAGAGTTCCTATCCACTTTGGGGCCCTCAGTCCTTTCTCCTATTCTTCCTTAAGAGTCCCCAAGCTCTATGCACTGTTTGGCTGTGGGTGTCTGTATCTGTCTGAATCATCTGCTGGGTGGAGCCTCAGAATGAGAAGCTTACAGCATAGTTTTCATTAGAAAACTTACACTCTATCTGTACACAAACTAAAGACAACCTAGATTAGGGACTTACCGTTACTGACAGCTTTCATTGCATCCCTATACGTAGAGCAGAAGTGGGCACACCAACTGCTAACACTTTCAGCATGGTTATTGGAGAGGATGTGCCAGTAGAAGGGGTGTGGTTTCAGTGTATGTAAAAGAAGGGACTGGTGGCCAGTTCTTCATGAGGATGACTGGAGAATGCCCACTAGAAAACAAGCCACCAACCAAAAAAGGATCAAGAGCAGAGCAGGCAGTCAGATGGAGGAGGGCAGATAGAGCAAGCAGTCAGATGGAGGAGGGCTCCAGTGCTAGCCAGTTAGTGGGTGAGCAGCAGGACACAAAACTTTGTACCTTTCCCTCCCTAGTACCTCCTCCATCCCCTGACACCACATACAGTTAAGCCATTGGCCTGGGGAACTTGCAGCTTAAAGCCAGCCTTCCCCTTGGTAGCATTTTAAAATGTTATACTAGTTAACACCAATTGTGACTTTTTATCAATAAATACTAATATTCAAGTGAAAAAAGGAGAAAAAGACAAAGAATGAAGTCAAGAGACCTATACTTGGTGGGTAGGAAAGACCATGGGCCATATTCAGGGTAGAATAAGATGCCAATTCAAAGATACTGAAGAGTGTTCAAGTGACATCTGGTATGCACAGTCAGGGCCTTGGACGGGAACACTTACCACAATGATTCATGTTTCAAAACAAACGCAGTGCTTCCTCCACAGAAGATAAAGCAGCTTATTCTAAGCTAAATGAGTGACCATAGTCACTGACTCGGGATGCCCTATGACATGTTCTACTGTGATGGTGGTACGTGAACTTCTGTAGTCACAGGACAAAAGACACCATAAATCAATGCCATTGCCAAATACCTCAGGTGGGATGTCAGGTGGCTGGCAGCTAAGGGGAAATCACTGCAGTTGTGGTTTCAGTGTGGAACGCCCTTTGTAACCTCATGTATTTGGACCATGGACCTCCAGCTGATGGTGCTATTTTGGAGAGTTGTGGAATTCCTGCATGTATGTGTGTGTCACTGAAGTTCAGAAGATGTCATCAGCACCCCGGGAACTGGTATTATGAAAGATTGTGAACTACCATGGTGATGTTGGGAAATAAACCCAAGTGCTCTGCAATAGCAGCCAGTACTCATAACCACTGAGCCATCTCTCCAGCCTAAGTTGTAGCATTTTTCAGGAGATGGAACTTCATGGAGGACCTGAATCATGGGGCCAGCCTTGGGGTTTTATAGTCTACTCCTGCTTCCTGTGGTTTCTCCAGTTACTGCCTGCAGATAAGATGTTACCAAATGTCTTACATTCCTGCTGCCATACCTTCCTTGTGAGCATCAAAGATTTATTTATTTATTTCATGTATATGAGTATACTATCACTGTCTTCAGACACACCAGAAGACATTGGAAATTGAACTCACTCGGGACCTCTAGAAGAACAATCAGTGCTCTTTTTTTTTTAAATTGGACATTTTATTTATTTACATTTCAAATGTTATCCTCTTTCCTGCTTTTCCCTCCTGCTCTTAACTGCTGAGCCTTCTCTCTAGCCCAAGCATCAACTACTATTCCCTCAAACAAACCCTTCCTCCCTTCAGTTCCTTCTCAGGTGTTTAGTCAGAGCAACAAGAAAAGTCACTAGTGCAGATGCTATCTGATGACATGCTTAGCTTTGGGGTAGGTCATAGCTAGTGGTCCAATAATTTAGTTAATTAATGCATTCCAAAGATTGTACCTCGTAGTTAAAAACATTATTTCAGATAAGAAATGGGTGATAGTTGGGCAGTGGTGGCGTAGGCCTTTAATCCCAGCACTTGGGAGGCAGAGGCAGGCAGATTTCTGAGTTCGAGGCCAGCCTGGTCTACAGAGTGAGTTCCAGGACAGCCAGGGCTACATAGAGAAACCCTGCCTCGAAAAAAAAAAAAAAGAAAAAGAAATGGGTGATAATGACTATTAAGAGGACTGTCAGGGGGCTAGAGAGATGGCTCAGCGGTTAGGAGCACTGATTTTGGACCGTGAACCTCCGAATATGATACCCTCTTCTGGCATCACCTTTATTTATAAAATAAATAAATCTAAAAAAAAAAAGGACTGTCTTAGGGTTTTCCTGCTGTGAACAGAAACCATGACCAAGGCAACTCCTAAGAACATTTTATTGGGGCTGGCAGCTTACTGGTTCAGAGGTTCAGTCCATTATCACCAAGGAGGGAGCATGGCAGCATCCAGGCAGGCACAGTGTAGGAGGAGCTGAGAGTTCTACATTTTGTTCCAAAGGCAAACAGAAGACTGGCTTCCGCCAAGCTAGGATGAGGGTCTTAAAGCTCACACCCACAATGACACACTTCCTCCCACAAGGCCACACCTCCTAATAGTTTCACTCCTTAGGCCAAGCATATTGAAACCATCCCAATGACTAAAGAGAGCCTCGGATAATTTTAGCCTTGGTATACATCATTCCAACTCTCCACAAACCACGGAGGCTCTGATCAACCAGGCTGCAGAGTCTTGAGCATGATGTGACTTTTGCAGGAAACTCCAGTTCATACCAGTTCACCTAGAGAGCACATCTAGGTGGATGCTTCCAAAAGTTCAAAGACCTGACTTCTCAGACCTCTGAACTCTCAGCCAAAGAGCAGCTATCCCTTTAAAAGCCAGTGCCCATCCTCTACCTTTCCTCTTGGCAAACAGCTAGCCAGAGGCCACTTAATGAGACATGCCATCCAACCCTGAGGCCAGTCTGATAACGAGACTCCTGTTACATCCTGACCCAGATGTTCTCTAAGGAGCAGGAAGAGTTAGCTGACACACAGGCAGGAGACAGAAGATGCCTACAGAACTAGATTTTAAGGATGTTTTATTTGGAGAAGCCGTGGCATGGGATTGTATTAAAAGGTGGTTTGTGTGGGTGCCTGCCCTGGCATACAGGATTGAACACTCTGCCAGTAACACTAAGGTTTGGTGCATACTTCCTGATACAGTGGCTTCTAGGAGCCCAAAGAGATTATCCAACACTGAGCTGAACACCTGGATTGTTGTAGCAAGTGTGGAAGAAGGGATTGAAAAGCCTAGAGCATCAGTTCTCAACTCATGGGCCACATGATCCTTTCACAGGGGTTGCATATCAGATATCCTACATATCATATTTACATTACGATTCATAAC